GAGGAATTTTTAAAAATAGTCTCCCTTTCAGCATCGGGGCTTTTATGTAAAAACAATTAATTAAAAATGAAGAAGGGGGTAGGAGAGAAGGGGTTGCGCAAAGGCTTAGAGATTACTCTGGAGGCACCAGTGCCATTGCTGGGACTTTTCTTTCTCCTTCTAAGGTGACATCCTCAACCCTTCACTGCTACAGTGCTGGCCCAGCTTGCTTAAAATGCTCTATTTCCCATAAATTCTGGCATGGAAACAGCTTTCCAATGACAATTGCAAATGCACTTGGGGAAAAAGGGGCAAGGCACTCATTATTTTTATCAGCCTCCCACAGCAGAAGTTGAAGTTCTATGGAAAATATGTAATCTAAAATGTATTTATTTATGAAAGCCTTAAATCAAAACAATTTCTGACTGGCACGTTCCTCTCAGCTGGAACGATAAAAAATAGTGGTTGGGTCATAGCTGGATTAGCTGGAGGCAACAGTCTCTCTGTGTTTCTTTCCCTTTTTCTTTCTCTCTTTTATAGACCTGAGTCTTTTTATCCCTTTTTTTTTTTCACTTTAGCATAAGTGCCTAATATAGTTATATTTCTACAGTCAGCATAATGTCGTGTTGTTTCCAACACTGACAGTTTTCTTTCTAATTTCTCCAGGCTGTAGGGCTTGTTCTCCCTCTCTAGCTACTAATTTTGTGTTGAGTCTTGAAACAACAGGCAACAAGCATGAACCAATAGTGCTGCAGCCATAGCTGTGCTGGCCAAGTGGATAATAAAGGTTCCCTTCGCGTGTGACAAACATAATTCTCATTTGCATTCCTTAGGATAAATGTCACTTTCCTGAAATGCAGAGTGATTACTAAATTACTTTTCTAGGAGAGACAGCCATAAAGACTTGGAATCAAATTCTGCCCTGTCTCTCTCTGCCGCCAAATCTTTCCGTTCACCTAGATTGAGGTGTTCTGTTTCCATTTAGGCTTCCTTCAAAAAAGGCTTTGATTTACAAAAGTGATGCAGTGTGTCCTTTTGTTAGTGTTTAAGGTCAGATTATAAGAACAGTTTAATATTCAATTTTCTATAGCTGTTCTGGAAAACCTAGCTGCTTGGTTTAGATATTCAAATGGGAGCTGACCCAGTCCTAGAGTATTCCTAGCAAGGCATTATTAAACGTGACCTGCTTCTCAAAACGACGCATCCTTCCAGGGCTGAGTGTCTGGATGCATTAGCTGGTATCTGAAGAAAATGACAGTGCCAGAACCTCATTTGTGAGCTACTCAGGTATCAAATTTCCTCATTTGCTTCCAGTGAAACTCTGTTTCTTTTGTCAGTTTTGGCTTTTTCATTTGCAAAAGGAATACCAGCCTTTACAGACTGTGAGGTAATTAATAGATATATTGACATATAGGACACAGAGGACAAATATGCAAATGTGCATGTGAGAGTTATTTTTCCTATATGAATTTAATGAATATGTTGACAGTTATGTTTATGACCCTATGAGTCAGATAAACATGTCCAGTGCGTTCCATTCTAAATCCCCTGTTTTAGCAGCTTGCAATTTTTACAACTTAAATGCCAGCATCTGTGCCAAATAGTGACGTATTAATGACAAGTCTGATAGTTTTACCCATTGGTCCCTCAAATGGGAGCCATCCCATCCAAGTTTTGGCAAATGTGTTCCTATTGCAAGGCATAAAGAGACAAAGTGAGCCCCTAGGAAAGACCATGAGGCTATTAATCACCTTGTATTTGGAATTAGGCTGATAGAGTACCCAAGAGGTGATGCTCAATGACACACACTGACCGATAAAAATAAAAAGGAAGTGTTGGACAGAGCTGCCTGTTCATTGAACGCTGTCTGCCCTGTTCGGTGAATGAAGTTGTGTTCCTTGAATAAAAATAGTGACAATTACATCCCTAGATTGCAATCAAAAAGGGACTGTGCAGACCCTTTGTTCTGGAATGCTCAGCATTTAACAGTTTGACTAAGTAACCTTAGGAAGGGTCTTTGGAGAAGGGGATGTGAGGGATGATTACTTTTTGAAGGTAATAACAAAGAGTCCATCCAAGCTGTTGGTCTACTCCCCCTTCGAACAAAAAAAAATGGAGAAAAAAAGTAGTTAAGGCATTTCAAGTTTAGTTTAATTGCTAAGGCTTTAGTTCCTCTATTTCTGATCCACGACAAATTGACTCACAATTGGTGAGCTGAGACATTTCAGTGAGTACTTTATACCAGTAGCTTCCAGCTGTGCTTTAAGGTTAGCGTAGGGGAGCACCTACTAATGGGAATAACTGGTAGGCTGCAATCAGGCTGTCAGCTATTTAGACAGGCAGGAAGCAAACAAGAGAGTGATGGCCAGGCTATAGAAGATCATCAGAGTATGTTCAGTAGAAGTCCCTGAGGAGACCAAATGTGGATCTGTTCTTTTCCATAATGTGAGCTGGGGCTGCGCCTCCGTTCGGAATCTCAGGAACTTTTGGGTCAGATACATTACCAATATGTAGTTGCCTAACCTCTGGCACGCAGTTTTGAAGTAGCTTAGCCGTGATTCTCTGAGGAGGTTTGATTTAGTGTGATGGAGATCAGAAACTGAAGAGGAAAGAATTATCCTGGGGAAAAAAGAAAATGTGTCTTATAGAAATGCCATTTTCAGAGATTGAAATATGGTAGTTAAGTTTAAATACAGAATAAATGCTTCAAAGTATGTCCAAGCTGCCTAGTCTCACAGTAAACCAAGTAGTTAGAGATGACAGTGAATTAAAAATTGAAGCTTCTGGTAGTTACAGGGAATTTCATTTTGATTTACAAGACCTCTTGCAGACCCAAGTGTGTGACTGAAATATTTGTCCTCTCTTTAAAACCACCACTTACCTGCCCGTGGGTGACAGATTGCATTCAGCAGTAGAAATACAGTGTTGCTCTTTTGTAATTTATTGTCTTGCTCATTTTTACATGACCACAGATTTCTATTCTGAAGAAGCTAGGTTTTGATTTTTGAAAGTGGCACAAATACTTCGCATTCATTTTGGATGTCGTTTGGATGCACAGTTACATTGACAAATGTGTATCTTCCATGATTGCATGGTTACAACATGTAAGGACCAATATCTACTGTGTAATGTTAACACTGAAATGGCTGGAAGAACGTAACACAGCAGAAAGAGCTGTGAGACTGCCTGCCTTTTCAGTTGCATCTCAGGAGTAGATTGGGAAAGCAGGTAAGAGTTATGCCAGTACCAACCAGCACGAGAGGAGAATTAGATTCATTGTAAGCACTGACATGAAGTACATAATGTATAGGCAAAGTATGATTTAATTTTCCTTTTTTTCATTCCACCCTATAAATATAATTTTTAAATGTGGAGGAAGTGCTGTTTTCTGACTGTGTCAGTCATTGACCATCGGGAAGGGTGAGTCAGCATTTCATCATCGGTCATAAAAGCAGAAAGCCGTGGAAGTCAATATTGGTTTGAGCATGTGTTATTGAAAAGAAACTATAACTGAAAAAACAAACCTTCTCAGCACAGTAATCCAAGTGCAAACACGCAGGGGAAAGAAAAGGGGGATGTGCAGGCAGCAAGGGGGGAGCAGGTGCTGACCCCACTCCATGGGAGTCCCCACGGTGCACCCCACACTCAACTCCGTTCGCTCCACATCTCTCCAGCACTCCCAGTAGGAAGGTGGGAAGGATTTCGGTTCCCTGTCCTACAAGCAGCATGCAAGTGAAACAACTGAGCCTGGCTCACTGCAGCCACCCTCAGTTCCTCCAGCCTGCCTCTGTCTGACTCGAAAGTGGCCACTTCAGGGACCTCTTCCCCTGAAAATGGTCCTGTGAAGGCTCAGGTCTTCTCACCAACTTGATGAGCGCTTCCCTGAAGTGCTTCTTTCAGATGTAGCGTTTCACTGAATGAAGGCAGCAGCACGTACATGGCATTAACTGCTCAGATAACCAAGAGCTACGTGAGTGCTCTTCAGATGCAAGATCCTTCTGACTAATATTTCTATCATGTCTGACTAATGAGGGCTGGTTAAAATGTCAAGAGTTTTTTGGGATTTTTTTTTTTTTACTACCTTGTTTCTTACTCCCTCTCACAGCAGATGATAATGAACTGACATGTTGTTTACTCATTCCGTTATACAGTCCCATGGGGGTAAAAGAGTTGCTGCAGCTTAACTGCTTCTGTGTGGTTTAGGAAGTCTTACGGGGGTATGAATAAGAGTGACTGTTACTGCCCAGAAGCAAACAGACTCAGCTGTGTCATTTCAGAGTAGGTCCACATTGAAGATAATGCAGAACTACTATTGCCCAAGTGGAAGAAGTCTGCTTTCTGTAAGGCAAAATTTCTCCTGGGACTCCCATACCTGCAGTGCTGAACTTTTCCACTGGCAGTAAAGGAGAGCAAGGTCAGATCTACGGCATCCTTACTGCTCCACTCAGGGGTGTGCAGGGAGCCCTTCCTGCACCCTCTGAGCGTTGGCCCAGGGAAGGGAGAGCAGTGGGCCGCAGGCGCATATATGAGCAATGATAAGGGAGCTGGCTTAGCCCTTTCACACACACCTGGAGCTACCTCTTGCTCGTAAAACCTGGCCCTCCACTGATGGCTTGGATGCCCAGGGCAGCTCCAGAGCCTGGGTGCTCCTTCAGTGGCTTCCCTAGCCATGTACAGCTCTCTTGCCAAGCACTTGCAAAACAGCAAAGGCATTTTGCTTGATGTTCATGAGGCAGAGGCATCACTGATAAGACTATCATACAACACGGCATAATCTGATGTATATCTAAAAGCAGCAATAGCCTAGGAAAGAGCCTGGGGGAGAAATGCTGGAAACGGAGAAGCTGTAAAGAAAATGCATGGATAGATGTATATATTAGAAAAAAAATAGGCAAGGCAAAGAATGCTGTCAATATTTACTCCACTGCAACTGACCTCCCCATCCGTTCTCTCAGGTCATTTGTTAAATGCATGGAAAGTATTGATTTTGACTAATTAAATAATTTCCCTGCATTTCACAGGGACAAACGCTAAGCACGGACTGCGCTGTAAGGCTTGTAAGATGAGCATCCACCACAAGTGTGCAGACAGTATCGGACAGCAGCGTTGCATGGGCAAGCTGGTAAGTGAGCAGCTCAGGGCAGTGAGCGCAGTGGGAGGCAACAGTTTTTTGTGCTGGAGCCACTTGCTTTGTGTGCCTGACCCCCTGGCTGGCATTTAGCTGGTACATTGACAGAATGGACACCGTGTCATTTTACTGAGGTGGGAAAAGTAAAGCCAAGTGGTGCCCTGTTATCAATCTGGGCAATTGCTACTATTCAAAAGCCTGATTTTCATGGAACACAGATCTGGTCTGCTTTGTGGATGTAAAAATAGTTACATATCCAAATTTGGCTAAATATCAGAATTAATTCCCTTGATTTAAACTGTGTTTCCTGTAGTGTAAATTTCTAAAGGAAATCTATACAGTAGTCAAAATATTTCAGTGGCATTTAACAAGTGAAAAATCCTTCCAATTACATTTTGGATTTTTTTCCACCGTGTTAGGGCTTGATGAAACACCATAATTCATCTTAAAAAGAAAACCAAAGCATATTTCATAGTGAGAAACTACAATTTGAAGGAATCTCTTAGTAGGAGAGACTGGGAGGAGACCTGTCCCTTTATGGACACAGCACCTTAGTGCCCGAGTCACTTTCTGAGCAGAAAATTATCATTACTGGCAAAGGCAGGACACTGTGTTTGAGACATTTGTAACCCAGATTAGATGTTGCACTTTCATTTTGGGTACTCATCTGGTGATGACTGGGGGAGGTTTTTGACCTTACAAGACAAAAAAAGCTACAGTCAGTCAGCAGCAAACCTTAGAAGAACTTATAGAAAGTGTCTGAATTCCTTGGGTTTTGCAAGTGCATCCATGGGAACTTAAGGATTTGGAGTCAGGGTGAGGAAGAATAGTCACATGTTTAGCAAATGCAAAACAATGCAAATTCACATTGCATAAGAAGAAAGGGAGAGGGGAAACTTCCCAGAATCTCTAATGATTCAGCACTTCTGCTGTAATTAGTTAGTGCTGCTTTTGTGTAAGACAAAAGAAAAGGGGGAACTGAAAATTAGTCCCTCCTCCTTCCACATAAATATGGGAAATTGTGTTATTTTCCAGGAGAAAAATCAAATAAATCCCTGATCTATAAAGCCCACAGTAACTCAACAGCAGGAGGCAAATGTCCAGCCTCATCATGCTGTTACGCCACTAGCCGTAGAGCTGAGGTTAATTCTGCTGCGTCAGTCACGGCAGCAACGCGCTTCATTTGTTTTTGCTTTCTCTCCCTCTAGCCAAAGGGATTCCGACGGTACTACAGCTCACCACTTCTCATTCATGAACAGTTTGGCTGCATCAAAGAAGTGATGCCTATTGGTAGGTTTTGATTGCTTTTCCCTTCAGTCTCCCTTTGGCAGTGCTCTGCAACAGCAGCAGCAGTCTTCCAGCTGTGATATTTACCCTCAGCAGCCTTCCGGCTCCTTTTGGTGACTGGATGTCTTTCTGCCATCTCAGGAAAGGACCACTTCAAAGATACAAAGCTGGAAGAGGAGAGGATGTGTTTATTGTGCGTTTCACTCAAAACCCTGTATATTATATATAACCTCTTATATATTGTGTGTTTCACACAAAATCCCATATATATATGTATATATATAACCTGTTTCTAATACCTGAGCTTCTACCTGAGCTCAAGGTAGGAACGTAAAAGGGGGGAAACACTGGAATATTGAAGGTCTGAGCTGGGAAGAAGCAGATAAAAGACAGACAGATCAAAACAGAGGGAACCATTCAAACCACTAGTCTGATTTTTGATGAACTTTGCCAGGTTCCTGTCCTTTTTCACCCACACTTCTTACTTTCCTCATAGTTTTCCTTATTGACAACATCTACACATTGTCCAAGTATTTAAAAAATCAGGTTTTGCTCACTGTAATACCAAATTCCTGAAAAGAAACATTTTGAAATGGAGAAAATTAGTTGATTCTGGAAAATATTTCTCCCCATCAGTACTCTGACCAGGCAAGCCTGGCAGTACAAAAAAAAGAAAGCCAGTCAGCTAGGGGTAAGACTCATGTCTCAACTTGGGTTTCTAAGTATATACCCCAACATGTTGGTAGAGGCAGGTGTTTCCTCAAGTGGAGCAGGAACATGACCAGAAATATCTTCAAGGGATTGATGCATGTTTTGCTCTTTCTGTTACAGCCTGTGGAAATAAGGTTGACCCTGTGTATGAAACTCTTCGCTTTGGGACTTCCTTAGCTCAGAAAACCAAAAAGGGCAGTTCTGGAAGTGGGTCTGACTCTCCCAACAGAAACTCTGTAAGTATCCCACTTCTTTCTTCTGTTTTCTTTGTGGAAGAGCAGCAGATATTCATTCATGGGAGGTTGTATCAGAGTATTTGTATTTCAAACTGTAAAAAAAAAAAAATAATCTGATTCCCAGCTTCAAAAAGTAGACCAGAAAACAAGTTATTTTTTGCGAACTTGGGGTTTAAGTACCTTTTAGATTACTCTTGAGAAAAAGAGAAAAATATGAAATAAATGAATAATCTTCTATCAGATTGGAAAAGGTAATTATATTTTTTTGATTTTGTATTTCTGTGTAAAAGTCACACAGAGATATTTAGCTGCCATGCTGGAGTAGACACATCCTACCTGTTGCTGGTGGTGTTCATTTACCCTTCATACAAGTGATATTGATGGGTTGGAGTCCTCAGAGCCTAGATTTGAAAGTAGAAGCTCCACAGTACAAACACAGCAAAAATTAAGCCATTGCAACAAGGCAAGGGACTGGCACCTCCACCCCTGCCCGGTGTAGACTCAGGAGGGGAGGATCACAGATTTGGACTCCTCTCTCCAAAACCCAAATACAGGCACACGTGCTCAGCTTGTTGTGTCCAGACTGGGAGATTTTCACCTTCATGTTAATCCTTGTCATTAACTCTCTCCCATCATTAAAGTCACTTTTTTGGGACCATGGCAGAAGAGGTGGAGAAGGAGGACAAGGGAAATGATAGTTCCCTTAGCCCTGCCTTTGCTAAATCCATACCTAATTCAACAAAAACACTTACTAATTTCTTCCATATAGAAATGGCTATTCCAACAGTATTGGGACCCATGAGATTAGGAGCTCATTCATGGTGTTGAAAGAACATTTAATTCCCTCTCACCTTCCATAAATAGGCACTTAAATGTATGCTTGCTCACATGGCTGAACCATAACTGCAGGTGGTATAGGTGGCCTCTAAGCAGACATCCATTTCGTAGAATCATAGCATAGAATCATAGAATGGTTTGGGTTAGAAGGGACCTTAAAGATCACCTAGTTCCACCCCACTGCCGTGAGCAGGGACACCTCCCACTAGCCCAGGTTGCTCAAAGCCTCATCCAGCCTGGCCTTGAACACCTCCAGGGATGGGGCATCCACAGCTTCTCTGGGAAACCTGGGCCACTGCCTCACCACCCTCATAGGAAAAAATTTTTTCCTCATATCTCATCTAAATCTACTCTCTTTAATCTTAAAACCATTACCACTCATCCTATCACTACCCTCCCTGATAAAATCAGATGGGAAAGAAGACAGACAAATTTAAACAAAAACTGAGATCTGCAAGAGAGTTATTAAAGGACATGTCCTTTATCTACCCTTGGTTTTGCCTTAAAAGGAATTTGGTAATTTCCATTTTTTTTTTAAACCCAAAGTGACTCTACCACCTATCGCATTGTGATTACAGTTCTTTCTGTCAATTATTTAATTTCCTTTGAAACAGAATTTCTACAAATGAAATTATTGCTTTCTAAATCAATAAAGCATTGTGTTGAATTATGAATGACAACTCAAGCATAGAAATCACAAATGCCATGTCAGCTTGCCCCAGGGAGCTGATCAGAACTAGGTGGGGTGTGGGTGTAGAATGAGGAACACAAGTTCATTATGGGAACTTCTTCAGGGTATTGAGACTGTGAGAGAATATAAATGCGTCAGCATACAGGAAATAGAAAACATTAGAGAACTGAATAAAGAGACATGTGAAACCATAACTTCTGCCAGGGCAAGCCTGTGGATTGAGACAAAGATAAAAAACAGGGGCAGACACAGCCCTAATCCAAGTGATGGGGCCATGGAGCTTTCTGACCCTGACGTGTGACCTAGGAGCAGGCACTGACCAGGCACCAGAGCAGGGACATGACACAGAGATTCAAGGTTCTGCCATGTCACCAAACCAGGGACACCGGGGACATGGTTTCCAAGCTGTCAAAGGGCTTGCTCTAAGTCAGAGCTGAAGGTAGTTAAAAGCAGAGGCTACTAGCCTAGGAGCCATGCCCTGCCTCTACAGCCATGAACCTTCCAGGACTGCAGTTCGTGTCTCAATTGTGCAGAGCAGACATCTTGCTCTGAAGTCATCAAGGTATTTAATGTTAATGGCTGAGCAGTGTGGATGCACCCATTGTGGTTTTTTTCAGCTCAGATTCTGCATTTCCCATAAAATAAAGTGGCCATATGCTCCAGATTTACTACCTACTGCTTCCTTCAAAAATGTGCTTCTGCAACCCACATCTATGCTACAGAAAGTCACTCGAGGTGATGTCAGTGTGATTCCAGTTCTTGTTAGTTTTTTGTGGATTAGCTCCTCTCAAAAGCATCTTTGTGCCTCTATCATTTCTGTTAGACCATTTGTCATATAGTTCTTGACTGAAAAATTCTTAAAGGTAGCTGAAGCTACTTCAGGAGGCTTTGGGTGAGGTATATACTGAAGAGACCACCACTGCACAACCCATATGCAGTAGTACCCAACAAAATAATTAAGCTAATCAGCAATTATGAAGCTAGTCTATGAAGACTGAGGAACATGCCTTGGAAATGAGCTGAAAAATAGCTGAGACTTACTATTTCAACAAAGACAGTCTTTCCCTTCTTCACCCAGCAGCTAGAAATCCCTAGACATGCTCTACACTGAGTCCATGTTAGTGTTACCGTTGCAGTGCCTTCTCATCCAGGGTGACCCATTTGAGCAAGATGCAAGACAAGCATGACCTGCTGCAAAAGGCTGAGTCTAAAATCGAAGCATAACAGAGCAGTAAAGTAGAAGGCTCTTAAAATAGCAGGTGATACAAGATAACCACAAGATACCTGTGGCATAAATCTACTTTTAACTTCTGTGTTCATTAGTGTCCTTGGATGGAGAAGTAGCTAGGAAAGTACTAGGTGAGGAAGTAAAACTGTCAAAGTACTTTCTAAAAAAAAAAACTTTGTTGTCAACACTAGTAAAAAGAAAAAAAATCACATACAGATCTTTAAAGCAATTCAGATTTTGTGTTCCCTGAACAAAAGCAGTGAATGTTCTTCATTTGGCTTTTCTTCCTATAATGCAGGCAAAGGTCTGCAAAGCAGTGGACAGAGATCTGTGTACAATATAATTCTAGAATGTGATGGAATAGTGAAGTTAAATCCTTCCATGTGTTTTAAAATCCTGTTAACAAGAAATAAATAAAGCTTAGGAGAACATAAGGATTTACAGTTTTTCAGATTAGAGAGAGAACCTGACTTCAGTTCAATGTTTAGGTTTTCTGTGGTTATCAAAGTTATTTTACCCAAAAGAAGTCACATGTGAAGCATTCAGAAACTGAAGTTCCCATCTCATTTTCTCTTTCTGTCCCTGCAGACAGCTGACCTGGCAGAAGTCCCTGAGGAAGGTGACAGCTCTGCAGGCACCCTTGACATAAGCAGGAAACGCAGCAACAGCGGTGAGTGCTGCCAGGCCAGGATAGCATCTGCAGATGTACTGGCCTGTGTACAACCTGTTTCAGATGAGTTTTTATGGCACGTCCATGTTTTAGCAGCATTCAGGTGTTTGAAGTGGGAGGTGAGTGGGGCATGTAGTTGGTGCAAAAATTTGGGGAGTACTTTTTGCCATTCAGATGAAATCCAAGCCACTAGTTTTTTAATTTGTTGTGTCCAGAACAGACACTGGATGGGGTTCAGGTCCATTCCTTATCTCCTACGCTTCATGAACATGACTGTAGACTAATCACTTAACATGCTTCTGTTCTACATTGGCAAAGTGAAACAAAAATAATGCTTCCTTTCTCTGCCATATGTTTGACTTGTCTGCATGTCTCTATATACCGTCACCTCTTTGGGACAGGAAATGAATCATATATTATCCATATGTCTGTAAAATATCCAACACAACAAATCCTGATTATAATTGCAGCTGCTCAGTACAGCTATAGTGCGTGCCGAGCCATATTAATAGCCCAATTCCTTGGTCTCCTTTGCAGTACAAGAGTAATATTTTTACAGCATTGATATGGTGGGATTTCGAGACCACCATACCAATCGAGAGCTTGGTAATGAAATCTTAGCCCCTGAGGGATGGTGTTTGTGACCCTGTTCTTGAATTCAGTCATGGTGAGAGAAGCAATAAGTACAAAGGGTTTTGGAGCACTATGCGAAACATCAGAGCAACTTCTCTAACAGCACCTGAAGGCTGCTTTCCTGAATCGCACAGGAGATGTTCACTATAAAAATAAATCCCAGTGAGTGGAGCTTTCCTCTGTTAGACCCCCAGTGTTCCTTACGTGCTGCTAGCAATTCATGCAGGTGAAACACCAGCTTCAGCTATCCATTCCCATTTTATCCTATCTCCTTATTCCTTTCTTCCCCTCCTGGTCCTATCACTTATCCTCACCGTGTTCCATCGTTTCCTCCCTATCATTCTGTGAACATCCCATCTATGTTATCTGCTTTCTCCTGACAATTTTTTTTAGGTTTTCTGTCGTGCAAGTGCAAGTTGACCTGACCTGGTTAAAGATAAATAATTCAGTCTGTTTCGCATTGTTGAATCCTTCCCATCTGAGATTAGTTTAGCCCTGTTTGAGTTTTCAGAGAAATTTTTATTTCATTGGCGATCAGGAGTTTCATTTCTGAAACCCAAAGAAACTTTTTTTCTCTGAAATCTGGATTCATTGAATGCACTGAGAGGCATTCAAGGAACTTACTCAAAGAGATTAGTTTAAAAACTCAGCATGTGTCAAACCTCCAAATAACTTCCATGGCACATTAACGATTCCTTTGATCAGCACTGGCTTTTTTACAATCCATCCTTCAGAGGCTCAGGGTATAAATTATGCATCAGTCACTCCAAAAAATTTCCCCTTGGTAGATTTTTAATAAACTGCCCACACTGTTTGCACAAGCTATGGAAATGGTAAAATCCTTTCCAGACTGTAAAAATCCCTGCTCTTTTTTTTTTTTTTTTTGCTGCTAGGGCAAACAAATATGAAAATAGATGGATTTCTGTTGTGTGGAGACATGAACTACATACCTCTATGGCCTTCAGATTCAAGTGCCTCCTAGTAAACATCCAGAGACCATGAGCTAAACCAAGATTAAAAATTTAACAAAGTAAATGCAAAATGTTGTTACACAGTGATTCACCACTCCTTTTTCCTCAGTTGTCTACTGCCTCTTTAGCAGGCAGTTTCACATTAATGCCTTGATGAATCAGGTCCATTCCAGTTCTCTTTTTTTTTTTTTTTTTTTTTCTCCATTGAAATACTGTCTTCTGCAAATAAGATTTTGGGAAAATGTATGTTTGAGACTCTTGGCTTCAAGGGAAACAGCATAAAAGACCAGTAAGGGGGAAAAGGAAGAGATTAACAAAATAAAGTTGATCTTGTTGAGATTAAGAATCTTAAACTTACTCCTAAAATGCTAAAATGTCACGTTTGCTTTATTTCAGTGTTTACATACTCCGAAAATGGCACAGAACACTTTGGAGAAGAACCAAAAAGTATACATTCCCCGGTATGGGCATAAATTTTGTGATAATGCAATGGGAAGGGGAAGTCATAGAAAAGACTTGTTTTTACGGATAGCTGAGGACCTCAAGTAGGGCACTATTCTGGAGGAGCGTCACCATCTGACTGTCATGTTCTTATACCATTTCTGGGCCACTGGCCACAGTTGGAAGCAATATAGAGGACTAGGTGGCTCTTTGGTTTACCCATTATGGTCCCTTTTATGTTCTGTTTATCACGCATTGATATTGTGAACACAAAAGGTCCAGTGGGGAGGCAACTGTAGTAATGTAAAAATCACAGATTTGATTAAGAAAATTATTTGGGGTTTGGTTTAGGTGGTTTTTTTTCCTCCAGATTACCAGTGGAGAAAGGGAGGAGAGATCAGCCAGTCCTCTCTGAGGGAAGCCCTGAGCAAGCCGCTTTCTGTTTAAGAAAGTGATTTTCCCATCCAAATTCCTGTACAGGACAGATATTTACATTTTCTCTTTCTCTTTTTTCTTAAAGGGACCATTTTATAAAAGCACGTTACAAATGAACACCTATGTTGCCTTGTACAAATTTGTACCACAAGAAAATGAAGATTTGGAGATGAGGTAAAGCCCCAAAATATTTATTAGTTGATTTGACCCATGTGAACTGAGGCTCATATGGCTGTATATGACTTCAGGGGGGGGAGGGTTCATTCTGACATTTGTACTACACATTTTTTATAGCAGTATCCACAAAGATATTCTCATAGATAAAAAGCTGATGACCAGCTTTTTTCTCAAGGACACAATAGACAGAAAGTTTTGAAAACACTTATGTCACTTTAGGAGCAAGATGGCTTTCAGCTAGAAAATATTCAGTTTTCAGTTGCTTTGTTTTTTCATCCAGAAGTTTTTGACTAGGAATTCCTCACCAGCTCTCATGCTAATACTGAAATTTCACCAGCCTGTTTGATTTTCCCTCACATTCACTTTATGTCTGAGCAAAGAGAACAATGTCCAGCTGCTGGATGACAGCGTTTTCACATATGAAAGATGCATTCTGATCTTTGCAAAATAACCTTTTAATTATAATTTTTAACACTTCCTTCCTCAGTTCTGCAGCAGTTACTAGCACTGCAAGGTTTAGACCCCAAGCCCACTGAAGTAAAATTGCATATTTTCTTTTAGTACAATTAGTTTGATTTATGCTACTCACATTTTGCATGGTCTTGCTAGAGGTCTTGGCATGAAATATGTCAGGTCTCTCCAAGGCATCCACGACATCAAAATAATCATGCACATGCCACAGAACTTACAGAGTTGCCCCTCTCGTTGGCATCTCCTTCACCGAAAGCCTTTTTCCTGTTCCCATCTGTGCCTTATTATCACTCTGGAACTAATTCGTGGGATGTAAGGCAGAAATTACAAGCTTCCCTATCATTCTGCTTTGCTGGCATTTCCTGATCATTATTTTAGGAATCTTTAGCTCTTCAGGAAATAACCACAGGGTATATTGACCTTTAGTGCAACTTGCCAGCTCTTCTGCTTGAGGGATTCCACTTTGCATCCTGCTCCTTTAGGGGTAAATTCCAGCTTGTGCAGTTGTTCCGTGAAGAAGAACATCCTCATCAAGAGACAGCAATCCAGAAAACACATCATTCTCCAAAATTCTCCTGTCCCTCATATTAGGAGACAAAAGCAACCTGTGGTCTGCAACCTGGACTGTCACGAGTAACAGGCTCTTTCAAGAGACACCAGCCAGCTTTTAGACTAGTGTTACTCAGCTACAGCAACATTGCTTGTCCCGTAGCCAGAAATTCAGCAATACATGGGTTAACAGTTTCATAGGGGATGCCAAATAGCTAGTAATGTTGTTTGGCCACTGCAGAGCCGGGCAGGATTCAGCTCAGTTGTATGAATTATTATCGTTATTTTTCTAATGGGCAGGCTGAAGGGTATTTGGAGGATGGAGCTCTCTAAATCCTTCTTGTTGAAAGTGCTCTTCCTTGCAGTGTAAAGGCTCCAATGGTGTTCCAGCCTATTCAGTTTGAAGTGGCAAGAGGGGGTCCCTCAAGACCTCTTTAAGTGTTTTGTATTAAATATTAACTGGAATAAGGGACTCAGATGTCCTTTCCCATGGAAGAAATCTTTTACCACTGGGATACCAAGTTGTCCTTTTTCGCGCTTCCTTTCTCACCTCAGCAACATTTAATTATTTCAAACAGATTGGAACAGCTTCCTGAGAAGGGCTCGAGTAAAATCCTACCCTGTTGCCCTATTGATAGCGGCTTTCTGTGCAAGCTGGAAAACTCTGGTTCCGCTCACACAGTCCACTGGGCAAGTGGACCAAAGAAGATCAGCACCAACCCCACCTCCAGCTGCATCTCAGACAGGTCCACATTTTCTATCCATGCTCTGACAGAGCCCATCGGACTGGACCCATTATCCAGCACATGCTCCAGATGTGCTTGCAAGCTTTTGTGCTGATACAGTGAGCCTAACAGAGTATGCAAGGAAAGCTGAATAATTAGGGGTCAACCGTTAATTTTATTAAGATGAAAGAAATGCCTCTTATCAAGCAGACAGAGCATTCTGAGGTTAATCCGTTTGGAAGTGGGCTGCCACTTACTTTCTATAACATGGCACTATTATAATTACATAATAACACTGATGAAGTGCTACCAATGGGGGAAAGGAGGTCAAATAACTGTTCAACTACCTGCACAAAATCAGCTCAGCGCATTTTGCTATTAGCATTTCCAGCCAAATTATTCTCCTAGTTCTGCTTTGGAACTAGTCAGCTGGATGCTGATACTTAGCAATTACAACCCTGCACCACACATTATAAAGGTAAATATGTCCCATTCAAATCAAAAAGACATTCCGGGGCAGAATTATATCCCTGCTGACTAATTGCCTTTGTCAGTTAAATAGAACTATTTTCCTGCTGCCTTCCTTCTGCAAGCACAGCTTGAAAACACAGATGATAAAATCGTGTGTCCCAACAATGCGAAATGTCTTGAAGTAACAAGATAATGCCTGTAACAAATAGGGACTGTATTTTAAACAGTTTCTTATTAAACAGGAAGCAAAAAATACAGTTCACAGGTGTTGTCTCAAAATAAAGATCTAGCCGCAATATGCAGAGACTCTCTCTGTACATTTCCATGGATGATTTAAGAAAACTTAGCTGCCTCATTGAGTCCACCTGCAATGAATGCTCAGATAAAATGACCGAGGAAGGACCACTGTCCTATCAGAAGGTAATTGTGAAAGCTGATGCACCATAACAATTAAGAGTCAGCTTAATCTACTTTTCCTCTTCTAATTACAGGCCAGGGGACATGATCACTCTTCTGGAAGACTCCAATGAAGACTGGTGGAAGGTATGTGCTAATTATTTTTATATCTATCTGTTTTCTTTCCAAAGGGAAAAATAGGTTATTTTCAATACTGAACTTGTATTAAAGCTCTCACTGCTAATAACCTTCTTCTAACAATGTTTTCTCCACAGGGGAAAATTGATGACAGAACTGGATTTTTTCCTGCTAACTTTGTTCAAAGAGTGCAACACGATGAGAAGATTTACAGGTGTATCAGGACGTTCATTGGCTGCAAGGAACAGGGACAGATAACTCTGAAAGAGAACCAGGTAAGTTTCGCTGTGCCGAATCCCACAGTCTGACCAACGACTGGAGGGAGAGTTGTGCAAGATGAACACAGGCAGATGCTGTTCACTGCAATTTTACTGCAAGACTTGTTATTTGTATAGTGATGTCTAGTAACCAGTTAAGAACTGTCTTGTACGAGCGCATAGTACTTACGTAATGTAGCTTAAATTTTCAGTCTTACAGGTGTTCATAAAGATACTTTACATTTTATGCACCCTCTTACTGGCTTCAGAGGAACAGCTTGAAGAACGCAGAGTCTTAGAGGTAGACTTTGTGTGCCTGAAAAATGGCCTGGTTTTCTACTTGCTATTAAGAGTTAATCTAATAAGAGCCAGTGGCTCCCTCCCCAGACCTTACCTTGCCCAAAAATCTAAACGTAGCTCATTGTTTTACCTTCAGCACGAGCAGAGTTAAGACAGCACCAAACCAACCTGTAAATCTTAAATGTAACGCTTATTCACCAGTTGCAAAGTAGCTTTATTCATTAATTGCTTGTGTCACCACTTCCACACCCTCTCTACAGGCTGTAGTTTTTTCTTGTGCCATAGCAAAATATCCAAGTGCTAACAATCCCTGGGCATACACAGCTTTTTAAGGAAGGCAGGGCAATACAGGAACCTGAATGTATTTTAACTGCCTCTGTGCACACAGTACATTGGGCAGCCCTGAAGTTGCTAGAAATAGAGAAGGTGCTTAAAGCTTTTTGACCCAGCACTTCTTTTGATTGTTTAGATGTGTGTACAGAGAGGCAAAATATTAGCAAAGCATAATGAGAGGGTTTTGCACCCTTTGTACTCTGGTATAAGCAATGCACAAGGTCAAAGCTTGGGGAAATGGGAGTGTGGGAATATAGCATGTCACCGTGAGAGAATAGTCAAGGTCTGAGTCCCTTCTCATCAGTGGCCATACCAGAAGTATGCAGGACATGTTCCAGCCATGGCAATCACTGCCTGAATAGCACATTTTTTAAAAAATTTTTGGTTTTTTTTAGCAGAACAACTTTGCCTTCCCTGTGGAACAACTCTTATTGTGAAAAACATTTAAATTGTTATTGGGAATATTTTACTTCAAAATTTTATTTTGTATTTCCAAAGTCAAATATATTTTTCTTCTTTCTTCAGCCATTTCTCTTATTTTCTGTTCTTTTTTTTCCCTACTATTTTCCATGCAAAGCAGAGAGAGAGGAGCAATAGGGAAGGCATAAAAAGAGAAAAAAAATCATCTGAATGGGACTTCTGGGAAGAGTTTGGAAGGATTTTATTTTTTTCTTTTTTTTTTTTTTGTTTGTTTATTTGTTTGATTTGAGGATTTCTGTGGGATGTAATGGACATTTTAGCTGTGTGACAGTTATGTGAATTTTCAGTATATTGCTTGATACCTTCCATAGTTTATACTGCAAGTGTCTATCCCCTTTGTGCTTTTTATGAATGTTCCCAGGTAGAGAGCCTATTGTAAGGCAAAAGGCAATATATTTACACCAGCAAAGGCACAGGAATACCTTAAAAAAAGCCGTGGCAGGCAAGCACAGATATTTTCAGGGTGTGGAGCACTGTGGGTGACGGTTTTCTCTGGAATCGCTTGCCAGTTTCATGCCCTGGGAATAACGAGTGTCAGCTTCACGCAGACCCTTCTGGCAAAGCTAATACTCAAGGAGAGGACTGAGGGAAAAACACCACAATTTGCTCACCCGTCTTGAGCAATGTTCACTAACTTAGTCTTCACAGAGGATCCCTTAAAAATTTCATTATGAAATAGGAAATCCAGCATGGGGAGAAAAAGTGTACTGCTTCAGAGATATCAACATCTTGGAGTTTAGGGTTCCCTGACAGATTTGTGGGTCCTGAAGCAGATTCGGAAGACAACTGGGCACCACAGGGCTCCGTCAGGAGTCTGTGGGAGGGAGGCAGTCCCTGAAATCAATAAAATGAGATTATTAGGAAGGAAACCAAAACCAGCCAATTTCTGTGGCTTTCCACTCTTTTAAGCTGTCTCACACACAATACTGGCTGCGTAATTTCCAACTCTGATTGGCCGTACCATCACTTGGATATATAAAACTTTCTCCAGCCTGTAACTTCTACCGTAGCATACCCAAATTCATTACCACACTTCATACAATTGCTTCTTTGCATGACTACAGGCTCTGATTTCTCTGATTTGGCCTCTTTTCACAAAAGAAAAGGTCATAATTTTTAAAAGATATATCTAATGTATCATCAATGTTTAGAAAAGGGATCTCTTAAAATGCCTCTAGCATTTTTAGTCATCCTTATTTTTAAAGAAGTCATAATAATCTATTGTTTGAATATCTGGTTTTACTCCTCATAAAATATTCTACTTAAATAAAGGAAATGACCTCTTTAACAAAAACCTACTCACACCATTCACTGGCAGCCTCTCTGATGTCTACAGTCACAGTAATACAAACCACTTTAGAGCTGGGCTTTTTGTGATTAAATAACACAATCGATTTTAAATTGCACAAGAGATCTTGTGCAATAGAAACGACCCCAAACCTTGACATTTGTAACAAGACTTGCAATCGGAAACTCTCTGCCTCATCCAAAGGTGGACTGGGAGTTTACAGAAAGGTCAGTGCAACAAATCCATTTTGCAATGGATGTGTTTTGTAAACGTCACTGATGTAAACCAGCCCTGTTACAGAAAGCTTGCCCCAGGCAGCTTCTGCAGTGACTGCAAATAGGACACTGCTGCTGCAATGGCCACAGCCTCCAAACCAGAGCCTCCCTCCTACCCAACACCCAGTCATACAAATTTCAAAAATTACTTTTTAGGCACGTGTACATCAGCAGCTATGTGCTGATCTGATCCAGCCGCCTCAGAAGAGCATGGCAATGGGCTTAAACACATCCATGAGGTTAGGCTCAACCAGACAGGATTGCAGCCCAGATCTCCAGCTCCACTGGATGTACCTGCTCTGGTCTTCTGATTTATCTGGATGCTTTGTTGCTACCTGGCTTTTCAACTCACTGCCTAGGAAATACTTTATGTACCTACATTTTTCTTCCTGGGATACTCTAAAAGGAGCTGAACGTCCAGGAGCATGAGTCACCTGCCTGTGAGAATCCATTGCATTGTGGTGGCTTATGCATTCAGACTGAATCACTTAAAGCACAAACCCCATGCAGAAAGTGATGTTGGGGTTCTGCATATGCTTCCCAGCAATAAATGCTGCACTTCACACCTAGGCTTAAGGGGAAAAGGGTCTTTTTTTGTAGCTATCTCTGATTTTCATTGTGATGGGTTTGCCCTTGGCTGGGGGCCAACTCACACACACCCGATCACACCCCCCCACACACCCGAGGATAGGGGAGAGA